TAAAAACTGAAACAAAAACAAATACATTCAAATTTAAATTGAGATCCCTATTATTTGATAAAAGTTACTACAGTGTTGACGATTACATGAGTGACCTAACCCTTAAAAAAATGAAAGAGAATGTGTCAATATCATCAACAAAGTAAAATGTAATATAGTGCAATATCCAACTCATAATAATAAATAATATAATAATATAATTTACTATATGTATAATTGTACAATAAAATAATGTAATTATTATTAAGGCTAATTATTACCATTAAGCATTCGTAATTGTTAATGTATTCGTAAATGTTAATTTAATTCGTAGATGTTAACTAGTATTAAATAAGTAAATGTAACTTTGCTACACCCTTACAGGGTCAATGTATGAATGCATGTATACCTGTATGTGCTGAATATGTTATTGCAAAGGAATAAATAAATAAATGAATAAATGAATAAATGAACTTTCTCCGGGACCAACTTGACCTTCACTTGTTGGGTTTTTATGGCGGTCAAGCTGTAGATCGTGGCTACACAGGATTTGCAGCGGTGGGAACGAGAGGTGGGAATAGTCCCGTTATAGGTCTGTAACTTAGTCCCTAAAAAGGCAATGACGCCGACAGCTCTACTTTGAAAGATTATACGGAACGTGGAACGTGAGACGGTCCATTGGGAAATATAATTTACGTTCTCGGGATAAAATTTTACTCAAATAATTCGGCTTTCTATTAGTCAAAGACTTTTTAGAATCGGATCTGTAGTCCCATAGGTACGGATTGTACAGTTCGATAGCTGTTTCACCTACTATAAAATGACGAATTTTCCCAATGGATATTACCTTTCTGTCTATTTAGCATAAGATTTGAAATTGATTTGGAAAAGTTAGCATATTTGGTAGGTATTAAAAGTAAATGGAAAATTGTGTATATTTACTTAAAAAATGGACACAATAATTAAATTATAAAGCTTCTATCAGCGTTATTCATTTAAAAGGAAAATTATTGGCAGCTGTTAGTTATTAGTTTGGAATCTATTAACGAATATAATTAATTTTTAATCTCAAAATATTACGTTGCTTATAATTTTACTTTATGAGATTTAATAGACACGACAAAAACAACTGTATTACTGTGTATCAAAAGCAAGTGTTTTTATTAATTAATAACCAAGATGACGAGCATATCCTTTCAGACAGTGTGGGGGACATGGCAGCGAACACAACACCCATTGTATCTTCATAACAAGCTGTCATGGCGTCATAAAAAGCAGCCTTGGTGAAATATAGACGCACAAAATTAATGCCAGGAAATTCTAAGAAGTACGAGTAACATGACTCTTTCGTGGCGTGCGAATGTATCTAAAGCCGTGATACCCGAAGCGGTCTTATGGGCTCCAAGAGGTCGATTACGATCTCCAAGGGTCTATGCAAAGTAAGAAAAATAAAATAAATTGAGGTTTCTTGGTATGGATGAGGTCTAGGTATAATATTGTATTGTATAGATTTTTGCTTTCTAGGAATAATCTTGTAGAAAATTAACGTCTATGAGGTGAATGAGTTCAACTTATATGCTACGCCATAAGGATTATACGACAACCAATTATTGTCCGGCCAAATGCGAAATACCTACTCTCTAATATGAAAGTCTATTGCCCGTTTTCACCATCAATCCCCAATTTTTAAGTGACCCCTATGGTAACATTTATCAGGAATTTTGAATACATAGGGGTCACTTAAAAATTTGGGATTGATGGTGAAAACGGGTGTACGTTATTTTTATATACCCGATGTACGTAATTATATTAATACTAGCGGCCGCCCGCGACTTCGTACGCGTGGACCTCGTTTTACTCCATTAGGGGTGGAGTTTCGTAAAATCCGCTCTTAGCATCTATAGCGCATACATTTTAAATTCCAACTCTCTTACTTTAAACACATAGGACTTTCATAATATAAACTTCCAACCCTTCTTTTATCTCCTTAGACCCCGTAGTTGATTNCGGGGATTCTTCGCACCCATTCATTTTTGCAAATAGGCTTTTAAAAAGCACTTTTACACGTCCCAATATTAACCCTACCACTGCTTCGGGACAATAAATGCTGAGAAGAAGCAGCGCAGGAAACTCAGTCACTATTGTCAGCCTCCTTTTCAAGGGTTTACAGTCTTTAAAACATAGGGTTAACAGTCTGTAGTCTGCGGGGATTCTTGAAACATTATCTACGGCTCTACTCTCTCTACTTTATGGCTATGACGTCATACCTGTCAGGCGACAGCGCCCTTCTAAGCAGCGGCGAGGCGGGGTCTCTCCGCGCCCAAGCGCGCCGCCCGCCCTCGCGGCAGGCTAGCGGAGAAGGGCTGCGTGCCTCGCACCGGCTGTCACGGTTAGTTACGATGATAAGTAATGGTGTGGTGGTCAGACACAATGACATAACATATACACCTGTAGGCCTAAGATGCGCGCCGTGATAACTTTTATCAACGTCAAAATGTATGGGCAAAATCGATAAAATGGCGTGATAACCGCTTTTCGCGGCGCACATCTTAGGCCTTAAGGAGACAATATGACACGTATACAAGGCACGATATGGCATGATATTCAAAAGTGGACAGGACACTATTAATATACAAATATATCCGTATATTAAAATCGATCGTCCTTTTTACATAGGCCCACATTTAATCTTGAATAGGCTTCTGCAGACCATGTAGACCACAGGGAATGATAAAACAATATGCAGCGGCGAAGGGCTGCGCGCCTCGCACCGGCTGTCGTTAGTGATGGGATGGTGGTCAGTCACAATGGCATAACATATACAAGAAGATACAAGGCATGAGATGTGGTATGAGATCCATAAGTGGGCGGAGCTATTTTCTACAAATATGTTTGTAACCGGCTACGGTTAGTCATGATGTGGTCAGTCACAATAAGACACGTGCAGAAGGCACTTCATATAGCATTAGATTTAAAAGTGGGCGGGGCTAATATCTACAATGTATATCCGTATCGTCAAATCTATCGTCCTTTTTACATAGGCCCACATTTAATCTTGAATAGGCTTCTGCAGACCATGTAGACCACAGGGAAATGATAAAATAATATGCAGCGGCGAAGCGGGTCTCTCCGCGCCCAAGCACGCCGCCCGCCCTCGCGGCAGGCTGGCGGAGAAGGGCTGCGCGCCTCGCACCGACTGTCACGGTTAGTTACGATGATAAGTAATGATGTGGTGGTCAGTCACAATGACATAACATATACACAAGGAGACAATATGACACGTATACATGGCACGATATGGCATGATATTCAAAAGTCGACAGGACACTATTAATATAGTCTGGCCTGTGAGCACGTAGAATTTTGTCCAATGACCCCAAGCTACCCATCCTTATCGCTCGCGCGTAATTATGTTGCTGTCGCGCTCGCACACTCACTGCGGGCGCCCGTCGCACAGTTGCGCTAAGGATGGGTAGCTTGGGGTCATTGGACAAAATTCTACGTGCTCACAGACCGGGCTTTATACAAATAGTACAAGCTTTGCTTAGTTTGGGACTAGAGGCGCAGTGTAAAATGTCCAAGGATATTTATTATTATTATTCTCTTTATTAACTTTGGTTCTTAATTTTAAATATTTTTTTACAATGTAAATTATCAAAAAAAAAAATATTATTATTATTATTAAATATGTATATCCATATCGTCAAATCGATCGTCCTTTTTACATAGGCAGACATTTAATCTCGAACATAGGGTTCTGTGAACCATGTAGACCACAGGGAATGATAAAACAATATGCAGCGGCGAGGAAGGACTGCGCGCCTCGCACCGGCTGTCACGGTTAGTTACGATGATAAGTAATAATGTGGTGGTCAGTCACAATGACATAACATATACACCTGTAGGCCTAAGATGCGCGCCGTGATAACTTTTATCGACGTCAAAATGTATGGGCAAACTCGATAAAATGGCGTGATAACCGCTTATCGCGGCGCGAATCTTAGGCCTAAAGGAGACAATATGACACGTATACAAGGCACGATATGGCATGATATTCAAAAGTGGACAGGACACTATTAATACACAAATATATCCGTATCGTCAAATCGATCGTCCTTTTTACATAGGCCCACATTTAATCTTGAATAGGCGTCTGCAGACCATGTAGATCACAGGGAATGATAAAACAATATGCAGCAACGAGGCGGGGTCTCTCCGCGCCCCTCGCACCGGCTGTCACGGTTAGTTACGATGATATTATGGTGGTCAGTCACAATGGCATAACATATACGAGTACACAGGGACAATATGACACGTATACAAGGCACGATATGGCATGATATTCAAAAGTGGACAGGACACTATTAATATAGTCTGGTCTGTGAGCACGTAGAATTTTGTCCAATGACCCCAAGCTACCCATCCTTATCGCTCGCGCGTAATTATGTTGCTGTCGCGCTCGCACACTCACTGCGGGCGCCCGTCGCACAGTTGCGCTAAGGATATAGCTTGGGGTCATTGGACGAAATTCTAAGTGCTCACAGACCGGGCTTTATACAAATATATCCATATCGTCAAATCGATCGTCCTTTTTACATAGGCCCACATTTAATCTTGAATAGGCTTCTGCAGACCATGTAGACCACAGGGTAATGATAAAACAATATGCAGCGACGAAGCGGGGTCTCTCCGCGCTCAAGCGCGCCTCGCACCGGCTGTCACGGTTAGTTACGATGATATTATGGTGATACCCGTACATACACAAGACATGAGATTATATTATAGTACGAGAGAGTGTGAGCTGCGAGCGTCACGTGACGTGTGCCGCGAGCGTCACGTGGCGTATGCCGCGAGTGTCACGTGGCGTGTGCCGCGAGTGTCACGTGACGTGTGCCGCGAGTGTCACGCGACGTGTGCCGCGAGTGTCACGTGACGTGTGCCGCGAGTGTCACGTGACGTGTGCCGCGAATGTCACGTGGCGTGTGCCGCGAGTGTCACGTGGCGTGTGCCGCGAGTGTCACCTGGTGGGCGAGGCGGGCTGCGGCGGCGGCTGCGGCGAGGGCGAGGGCGTGCGCGCGAGCGGCGACAGCGGCATGTGTTGTAGCGATGCACGTCGCACTTCGCCGCCGGCTAACTTGTGTTTTAATCCGTGGAGCGATGAAGGCCTGCGAGCATCACAATCATTGTCACTATCATCATCATAATCATCAGGTATCAGGTCATTTAGACACCACGCAGACTACACTTCGGTCTTGCTGTCATGTCCGCACTGTCGCCTGAGCGCGACAGCAATATAATTACGCGCGAGCGATAAGGATGGGTAGCTTGGGGTCATTGGACGAAATTCTATCTGCTTGGTGACCGGACTTTAAATAGTTTGGTCGACTTCCAATTTATATGAGGAATCAACCGATACCAAATCAATAACAGCCCGAACCAAATTATCGGCCGACAAAATTACTGTTGTAGTCTGCGAGGTGTCTTAATACTATATCACAGAAAACGTTCAAAATTCGATTCTATTTCAAATCTCTCTCAGTTTACACAAACCTGTTTTATAGCCTAATCATTAACCTATTCAGTATTCACAAATAAACCACATTAAAAGCACAATGGAGTGTGTACTTTATATAGCACTAGCTTTCCGCCCGCGGTTTCACCCGCGTGGAATTTTGTCTGTCACAGAAAAACTTTATCGCGCGCGTTCCTGTTTCAAAAACCGTGATAAAAACTATTCTATATCCTTTCCCAGGACTCAAACTATTTCTATGCCAAATTTCATCCAAATCGGTTCAGTGGTTTAGGCCTGAAAGCAAGACAGACAGAGTTACTTTTGCATTTATAATATTAGTATAGATATGGACTGTTAAATACCTTTGATAGTGTGTAGTGGTGTGCAGAGGACTATCAGCCGCTGGCGATGACGAGGCGGGAGAAGATGGACAATCGCCACTACCCACGCCGCCGGTCACCATCTAGAACAAAATATGGTGTAAATAAAACTCCTTCGATTTGAGAGAACCATAATATAAAACTTCTACCACGTGGGGAGAACTTTTATAAAATACATTTTGCGATGAAACAACACTCAAATAAAACCTTGCATGCACGGAAAAAAATATTTTATTCCTCATATCATAACCAAAGTTAGTACGTAAGCAGTAGCCAAACCATTTTTTTTAGTGTGGAGAATTGGAAAACTGAAGCTGTTTTCAAACTTCATGTTGGTCCCGATTCCCTTCTGATTAATTTCGTTACGGGTCCAATGACAGTTTAACTTTCTACCGGGACAAACTTGATTTCACTGGTTGGGTTTATTGGCGGTCAAGCTGTAGATCCTGGCTACACAGGAGTTGCAGCGGTGGGAACGAGAGGTGGGAAGGCTGTATCTCCTGCGAGGCGCGCTTGGTAGAAATGTGTCGGAAGAGCGAGCAGCGTCAGCACAGGCGCAGAATGGATTCTGAACCTTATTATCTTCGTCATAAGGTACCTGTTGCATCTCCTGCGAGGCGCGCTTGGTGGAGATCTTTCGGAAGAGCGAGCATCGACATCGTAGCGGGCGCAACGCCACAAAATGATTCCCCCAATACATTTTGAACCTTATTGTCTTCATCATAAGGTCGTTTTACCTGCTGCATCTCCTGTGAGGCGCGCTTGGTAGAAATCCGACGGAATAGCGAACAGCGCCTTCGAGGTCGCGGGCGCGGCGGCGCGGAGGCCCGTCTGCCGTTAAACTTTGATCCTTATTGTCTTCATCATAAGGTTACATACCTGCTTCATCTCCTGCGAGGCGCGCTTGGTATAGTCTGGTCTGTGAGCACGTAGAATTTTGTCCAATGACCCCTAGCTACCCATCCTTATCGCTCGCGCGTAATTATGTTGCTGTCGCGCTCGCACACTCACTGCGGGCGCGCGTCGCACAGTCGCGACAGCAATATAATTACGCGCGAGCGATAAGGATGGGTAGCTTGGGGTCATTGGACAAAATTCTACGTGCTCACGGACCAGGCTTTAGTAAAGGTAAAAAAGGAGGAGTTGCGTTTAGTGGAGGAGTGTAGTGAGGAAGGGACTCCTCTTTGTAGTGGAGGGGCTGTAACTTAGGGAGGTTGTATAGTGTGAGGAACTGTAAGTAGTGTAGAGGGGCTGTGTACTATTGTGTAGTGAAGAGAGGTTTGTGTAGTGTTGAGTGGGTATTTTAGTAGTGTAACGAACCTGCTGCATCTCCTGCGAGGCGCGCTTGGTAGAAATGCGCCGGAACAGCGAACAGCGCCTTCTCGGTCGCGGACGCGGCGGCGCGGAGGCCCGTCTGCCGTTGCCGGTCCTTCGCCGCCCGCCCGCCTGGGGAAAAATTACGTTTACTTTTAACGACCCAAGTATTTTTGTTTTTAATTATAATATCAGATAGTATTGCACAAATTACTAAGTCCCGTAGGGCTCGTTTCCATCTGAGATGTGATGTGCCAGGAGGATGAGTGGTGCGAGGGTTTAGCCGACTCTTTTCAGATGCTAAAAGCTCTCTCTCGAACACATCCCCCTCAATGAGGGCTATCGTTTTAGCGCTCACCAGTTAGCGCCACTGTAGAGTAAGGTCCTGTCACTTGCTAGTAGCGAAGACAGTGGCACCAACTGGTGAGCGCGAAAGTGGTAGGAGGACTATCGCATTTGCACTCATCAAGATGGCGCCACTGACAGTAAGGTCCTGTCAATCGCCAGGGGTGCCAACTGTTAAGTATAAAAACGATAGCCCTCATTGTTTTGTATGTTCAAAAATCTCGCTGCACTATGCCGGTTCTACCAAAGCTATGGTAACCGAGACGAGGTAAATAAAGCGATTCTATATCTCTACAAACACTCTTCGCATATCTGTGATTAAAAGGCATCCTTACAGCTCTGAACCTGTTTGTCAAACTTATTTGCAGGTAAAATTGGATCTAACTTGAGGATGAAGGTATTATACAAACCTGAATAGTGGTTTGATCGAGAGGTGTAGCCCGAAGTGTTGCATGCGGTGCTGCCAACAGCAATCTCAACACCTGAAAGATACACGACATTACTCACAATTTTGTAAAACTCGAGCAAGTAAATGTATACATACCTACTAACGAAGTAACAGAGTTAAGCTAATGTAGATTGAAACCGTTTTTCAATAACAATACAGCAGGGAACAATAAAAACCGGACAGGGGTTTGGTTTTATGTTAAGTTCAATCAGCCCTGTTAGTTCTAAATGAAGATTTCTTGCTCCAATGGGAACTTATATTGTATGATAGATGATTAGGGCTACTATCAAAGCCAGAACGTCAGTATTATGATCCCAGCATACGTTAGAAAAATAGATTTAAATTCGTAAAATAGATAGTGTTCGTCTCAATCTGTGCTCATACTTACAAAAACAATATAGCATTCTGAACTTTACCATGCACAGTAAATAGGGATGTTTCCTGGGTCAAAAAGCAAGAGTTTTAATTAGTCCGTCAGTTAACTTATCAAAAAATACTCTACACGTATTTTTCACTTTTTCAAACTAATGAAAATTGAAAGAGATAAAGCGCGCCAAAGTTCATAAGAAGAGGCCCGTGACGTCAATGCGTGCATAAAAGTGCCGCACGTTGTGACGTCGTGCGGAACTTCAACGCACCATAACTATGTAATTATTTGTTAGATTGACAAATAAAAATATATGTGTCCAATATTTTTTGATATTAAACATGACGGACTTAAAAAAAATTTTTAGGGAACTAGCCTATTAAGGTCATTATCCCAAATCTGTGCATACCTGTGTGTGCAGCAAGCCTTGCACAGACTCTCCATTGAGTTGTGTGATGAGGTCTCCCGCGCGAAGACCCGCCGCCCAAGCCGCGCCTTGCTCGCTCACCGCCTACAAAAAACATGCTAAGTAAAAAACTCAACTATGGTAAGCGTAACTCCAATTAACACTTTGAAATTGCGAATTCAACGACTGCAGTTTAGACAATCTTACACCCTACTAAACCCATGCACTGTCCACAAATGAAACAGAATAGAGCGTGATTACTTGCTCACTCACTGAATGAAGAAATAAACTTAGGTCAGCGGTTATCCTATAAATTTTGCGAGTATGGTAAGCGGAACTCCAATTAAAACTTTGAAATCGCGAATTCAACGTCAATTGCAACTATTGTAGTTTTGACAAATCTGTCTTATACTTTAATGAACCCATTAAAGTTTATGACAGATAGATACTATCAACAAATTAAACACAATAGTAAAACAATAGAGCGTGCATATGAAATACTTGCTCGTTCACCGCCTTAAGAAATAAACTTAGGTCAGCGGTTGCCAAACTGGGGGTTAGTGGACTTATGTAACCCAGTACAGTAGCTCGGTAAAAAGTATAGGTTAGGTTAGAGACTATAAAAGGGCAAATAGAGCGAGACACAGTCTGGGGCGGAGCCGCGAAAGAATGTCTAAGCCGTCTAGCTCGGACAGTAACTCGCAGTTCCGACCCAGACTTTGGCGGTCACCTTCAGGTTTAAGAGAAGGCCCTGACCAAATGGCAGGGAGTCTCACATAACCTACTAAAGCCTGGTCCGTGAGCACGTAGAATTTTGTCCAATGACCCCAAGCTACCCATCCTTATCGCTCGCGCGTAATTATATTGCTGTCGCGACTGTGCGACGGCCAGCCAGCCTAAGGTACACTGGACTGCTAAGATTAAAAAAAACATACTTTGTTATCAATCAGTAAATTATATTTACAGAAATTTCACAACTGAATGAGTTAGGGTTCGATCAAAATGGCTGGGAAACGCATTTCGTTTACCCATATCCGAACAAATCGGCTTACATAATCAAAAACCGAACATGGACACTTGATCCGACAAAGAAGTTAATTTAAAATTTCTTCAAAATATACACGGTCATGCTGTTACTGTAAAATGATCAATGATAATAATATACATATGTGAATACATTAGCAATGAAAAGTAGCATAATAATACCATAAACTTACCGAAACAAGGTGATGCATGGTATAGTAGTCCGTGTCGCCGTAATACACGCGCACGGTGTGAATGGTGAACCCGAAACCACGCGGCCCGCGCCGCACCACGATCGGAGGCTTGGATGACTGGATCAAACTGGGAACGAAGTAATGAATTTTTTTTACATCTTATTGGGTTAACATAAAGTTGAATTTTATTATGAACTGACATTTTATGTCTATGGTCCTTTGAATCATATTAAACTACAGTTTTGTGTTCTACATTTTAGCAGAACACTAATAACTGATGGAGTCTTGAAAAAACAGCGACGTTGCTAGGCAAAATCTATGTGAGGAACGCAATTTCACAGCTCACAACTTGTCAATCAACCGGTTAGCTACACATTTTTTCATCTCGGTCATTACACTCTAAAAGATAGAGTGGTTGTGGTCTTCAAGAGTTTTCTTCCCGCATTATTGTCCTGACGCAGAGGCAAGATTTCATTGGGAGGTGCTATTATAGGACGCGAATTTATTGAGCCTAACACTTTGTGGTTATTAGTTATCTGCAAGAAGTACTTTTTTGTAAAAGCCAAATTGCATAAAATCCACAACTTTTTATGTATTCATTGTACACTAGAATAATTACTATACGTTGTACTCACGAGTGGTTGGCGAGAGCGAACGGCGATGGCGGGTCTCGACACGGCGACGAGTCTCGCGACGAGTTGGTGGATGAAGTATTGCCCGCGCAAGGCGACGCCGCGCCGCCGCCGAATGAACTGTCGTCCGCTGGGAATAGAGACGCTTTTAGAATGAAGTACAATCACCGACATATCAGACACATTTATCGCCGAAAGAACATAAGATGCCACAGCACAGTGCGATATTACGCTGGCAAAGAACGTACTGTCGTCCGCTAGTAATAGAGACGCTTTTAGAATGAAGTACACCGGACACTATAAATCTTGTAAAATAATACTTATTACACCTAAAGCCCGGTCTCCGAGACCGTAGCTCACGTAGAATTTTGTCCAATGACCACAAGCTACCCATCCTTATCGCTCGCGCGTAATTATGTTGCTGTCGCGCTCACACACTCACTGCTGGCGCCCGTCGCACAGTCGCAACAGCAATATAATTACTCGCGAGCGATAAGGATAGGTAGCTTGGGGTCATTGGACGAAATTCTACGTGCTCGGCGACCAAACTTTATATGAAAATCTCATAACTGAGTGCGTAACGCTCTAATACCATCAGGAACGCACTGTGCGTTCCTGATGGTAGTAGAGCGAAAGGGGTTCTTTTTTGCTACATAGACCGTCAGTGACATTTCAGACATGTATACCGTGACAGCTCTACAGGCTATTCCGAAACGATGCTTACGTAATTTGGGTCTATTTGTCACCGTCGATCATGCTGGCATCTAGCTTTGCGTGAGGGGGATGGCAACATTCGAAACTTCGGATATCGTTTGTCGGAGTAACCCCGCTGAATCGTCACATGTCATGTCACCTGTTTCGCACCGCTCCATTGCCTCAGGGGTCTACTTAGTTAAGCTCACTATGCCTGTACATAAGATGCCTATTATCATCTATCTGATAACTTAGAGTACATTCAAAAAGAACTAAATTGAAAAAGAGGTTGACAAAGGCGACTGAGCCTTCTCAGCACCAGCCCATATGTTGTCCCGGAGTGGTGGTAGTGCAAGCTATATTTGGGACGTGTATAAGTGCCCTAGAAACGGCCTATGTACTGAATAAACTATTTGAATTTGAAAATTACTTTATGATAATGATAATGCATATCTTACCAGGATGGATAACGAGTGACAGTCCGGAGGTACTGGCGGAGCGTCGCATAGACTTGGTAGCCACCAACGCGGACGGTTTGCTCTTGTCCGGCTTATCCGGACGGTCCATGCTCTTGCTCTCTTCTTTCTTGGCTATCTCCGACCTGAGGGTAGACAATAGATTATAGTGGGGATTGGCATAAACCACAGATCAATAAAAACTAAAGGGCGAAGTGACAAGGGGGCGGGGCCGGTGCGCAGCAATATCACAGAATAATAATAAATACTACGTACAGAAGTTTTACTTCGCAAAGGTATTTAAAAAAATGTATGCTCAATGTCATTAACAATATGGTGTAATTTAGCCTGTCTCAAGAGTCAAGCACCATTTTGTTGACAAACGTCAGTGATCGGCACTGCGCCGAAGCTATTATAGGGCTGACTTCGGTAAAGTGATGTGACGTGAGGTGCCAAACTGCGGAAAATGGCGGAGGAAATACATGATTAGCATGAATTATCATGAATAATATTAACTACTTATTTACCTCTCAGTGTCTTGAGGCAACTTAAAAAAGTAAATTCTGTGTTTTTATTATTATTATTTTATTTTATTTTTATTATTATTTAGGCAGTTAAATACTGCACAGTATTTAACTGCCTAAATAATAATAAAAACACACATTTAGTACGCCATTTTCTTTATTTTCTTCCATCATACACAAGAATGTGAGTGCGTGAGTCAATGCTCGCTCGTATGTGAGGCCTTGTCGAATAGTAATCCTGTAGGGTGCCATAGTGCTTGTTTTGTTTTCGATGTAAACTCGCGGAGATGAACAGGCCTGGTAAAGGCCTATTCAGACCTAAGCGGTATTCGCTACCGTCGGCGGCAGAGAAAACTCAGTGGGTATGCGGTAATAATACTGTTCAGACCTAAGCGGCATTCGCTACCGTCTGCGGCAGAGAAAACGCTCTAGCCGCGGTACTTGATACTAAATACCTGAGCGAAACCCGCGTGATATGTAGGTACCTCTACCCACAGCGGCAGCGAATATCGCTCAGGTTTGAATATGTGGGAGACGAATCGAACGTCTCCTCACATTAATTTATCGGAGGTAGATGTTCAGCAAATTACAATCGGCTTTGAATAAACAAATATATTTACAATTGACTAAAAAAATACAAAAACATAAAAGAAATAAATTATCAATTCGAACAAAATCAAAGGAGCTAGTCGTAGGCAAGTGCCAAAGTGACAACTTAAAAACTTCTTTTTTATTGCCGGCCAGGAGCGCGCGGCTCGGAGCGCCGCGGGCGGACCAATGAGTTTGCATTGCATTGTGGAGTACAAGCGTAGTACATAGATCGCCACAAATAGTCCTGTAATACTCACATCCTCGGCACAAGTGCTAGGTGCGCGTGGTGCGAATGGTGCGGCGGGTGCGGCGGGTGCGGGTGCACTCGAAGCGTGGTGCGGCGGCGGCAGGCTGGTGACACGTCGTCTGAATCCGTTTGCGAGGACTCAGCTGTTGATGCACTGCCTCCTATCATCTGGAATACGGAGATTAGCGGTTAGTTCAGCGTTTAATACGAAGAGTTGGATTAGTTCCTTTAATAGTTAATTTGTTGGTGATCTATCTATACAGGTTGGCACTTTGTAATGCCACCTGGAAGGAAAGTACTCTTAATACTGTAGATAGAAAATTTTACTCAAAGAAAACATTCCTTTATTTTTGAATAAAAAGATAACTGCATTCAAAGATTTCCGATTATTTTTTTTTACTACCATGCCATACAATTTTCGGTAAATAGGTAATTAAAATAATTTAACCCTACACTGCATTTAGTCCCTTATGTGGGACAACCAATATAATTGATGCTTTTTCTGATTTGAGCCAAGTAGCGGCATTTATCATTTTTATTCATTTACATCCTAAATTATTAATTTTATCTCGATTTGTTTATTATCTAGAATTTGTTAATTAATTAATTCTGTTTAAACAGAATTTAATTTTAATTTAATTTAATAATTTGTGTAATTTTTTGACTATATATAATTTTATTGTAATCGATGTGGCGACTAAACATGTAAGCGCTTTGGGTTTTCTGTAAGCTTATTATGTTGCTCATTAAATAAATAAATAAAAAAAAAAAATTAAAAAAAAAAAAACAATGTCAAGCTATACCCAGACGAGGAGCATTGTCAGTGGATGAGCAGATGTGCGCTACTAAGGCCTCTATCATGCTGCGCCAATATTTACCTAATAAGCCTCTTAAATGGGGGTAATCCTCGATAACTACTACACATGCCCTGTATTGATTACGCTTTAATTTTGGTAGGTCATTGCATGCAGTGCCACATATGGAACAAAATAAAAAAATCCATTTTCTCCTCAACTACTAGTTTTTTTTAATTTTAGCTGTGCTTTCCGTGTTCTAGACCACAAATATTACCTGAAAATATTTTTTTTTCTTAAAACAAAAAAATCATGCAGTGTAGGGTTAAGATTTTATGGTTTTCCTTTCATTTGATTTATCAAGTTAGTTCGAGAGATTTTATCCTTATACTTAACCCTAACGATCAATGCAATAAAAATACAGGGTGTAACTTTTAACAGATTTTAGTTGGTTCGATTCCTGGGTGTTCTTATTTCTTTTCAAAAATAAAGGAATGTTTTCTTTGAGTAAAATTTTCTATGTTCAGTATTAAGAGTAAAAGAGTAAATTCGAATTTATCGTCATTTAAAGCTGTGAAGAACAATCACAAATACTTTACAGTCAAAAATGGAATAAGTTGGTTCCATTTAAGTCACTCATTCAAGCTCACTTACAAATAGAACTAAACTTTATTGATACCTCTCTTTACTACCCTATAATAAATGCGTTTCAACACATCAAATCCAGCAAACAAAATAAGTATGAAAGTAACTCACAGGACACTTGGGGTGGTGGTGCAATGGCGCGGTAGGCGTGGTGGGAGGACCCGCGCTATCCGGCGTGCCGGGCCAGCTGTCTGTGCTCTGTGGAGACAAAAACATCGTACGTATAAATAACTTGACCTTCATTGGTTGGGTTTTTATTGGCGGTCAAGATCCTGGCCACAAGTGTTGCAAATGTGGGAAAAATCCCGTAAGTATAAATGGTTTCATAGCTGTCTATATTTCAAGTGAAGTGGCTGTGGGCGGGGTTGACCAATGATTTAGTTATAGTCGTAGGCCGCGTCTGAACGCGGGCAGGGCAATATTAGTTGTAGTGAAAATCTATCTGACGTCTAGTGATAGACAATAAGAGCCTTACCCCACCCCCTCACCCCTCACCTAAAAAAGGAAGGTAAGATGGCGATGACTTGGTGAAAGTTGCAGCAAACGCTTTGGCAGGGCAACGAATGAACGAACAGTTGTTATGGAATATGTCTGAGACTTTTACTGCTTGATAAAACTGTCTCCAAATATGCATCTACTTACCCTGGAGTCATGCTCGAGGCCTGAGTGGTAGTGGCGACGCCACTGAGGGCTGGTGCTGCTAAATGCTGCAAACAATCCAGCATCGTCGGGCGCGTCACCCGCTTCAGCCGCCTCGTCTGTGTCCACCTCGCTGTGGTTATAGCAGTCACAACGGGAGCCCTAGCCTCTCCCGTCTTTACGAGAAGACACTGTAGTATCTATACGCTCATGGGAGTCATGCTAGAGTCCTGAGTGGTAATAGTATCGCCACTCAGGGCCAGTGCTATTGAAGGCTGCAAAGTCTTCCACTGCTGGACAATGCAATCGCCAAAGATCCGCCTTTCTCCCTGAGGATGAAGGTAGGTCTACTTATCCTGGAGTCGTGCTCCATAGAGATGAAAGTAGCATGAAGCGGCATCGCATTAAGAGAAGGTCAGCATAGGATCGGTTGTTTTGAATCTGTCTAAGACTTCTACCCTCTTTTGTGTACTTACCCGAGAGTCATGCTCCAAGTCTGAGTAGTGGCGGTTTCATCGAGGACTGGTCCTGCAATATCGACTGTTGTGGAAATCTGGCTTACTTCCGAAGGCCGCTAAGTCTTCTACTAATGGACAAGGCTTTCTCCTAAGAGCCGAGAAGGAAGGGCAGTCTACTTAAAGGTCTCTCTACTTACCCTGGAGTCATGCTCCAAGTCTGAGTGGTAGTGGCGGTTTCATCGAGGACTGGTCCTGCAATATCGACTGTTGTGGAAATCTGGCTTACTTCCGAAGGCCGCTAAGTCTTCTACTAATGGACAAGGCTTTCTCCTAAGAGCCGAGAAGGAAGGGCAGTCTACTCAAAGGTCTCTCTACTTACCCGAGAGTCGTGCTCCAAGCCTGAGTGGTAGTGGCGGCGCCATTGAGGACTGGTGCTGCTAAATGCTGCAAACAATCCTGCATCGTCGGGCGCATCACCCGCTTCGGCCGCCTCGTCTGTGTCCACCTCGCTGTGGTTGTAGCGGTCGCAGCGGCCTGGGTATACAAGATTTATAATATACTAATCTATATCTATAAAAGCTTAAGTCACTGAATGATTGACTCGTCACGAAATCTCAGCAACTACAAGAGCTAGGAGTCTCAAATTTTTCATTGGGGGTTCCTTTTAGAACGTAGATGCTCACTGAGACGGGATTTTGCAAAAGTCGCGGACGGCCGCTAGTGGTTATAATACAGAATGGAAACTATAAGTGATCTCACTCGATTATTTTTAAACTATACAAGATATCGAAAAACTGGTTACTAATCCTGAAAGTTTTTTACGAGCTCTATTAAACGGTATCAATAATAGGTTACAGAATAAACTGGATCAATCCGAAAATTCAATGTTTCCAGTTTCCAGCTAGAAAACACCCAGACTAATGAAATCAGATATTACGCAAATATTTGTACTGCACCAGCGTTTTGAAATGATCTTCTTCTTGTCGTGGCGACAACAAACCTACACAGTGTCAGCCCAAAACTTTGCCACAAGAGTGGTGTTGTCATTAAATCTTCCTGCGTGCAGTTGTTTGGGCACTAGGGCATCAGGGCACGACATCGTGTGCTTTGTCGACTGGGGAACACAACCACATTTAAAATGGTGAATTAAATAAATGACTCATAAGAAAGTAATTTACTGTCGAAGTAGCTGGTATCCTCGTCGTTCTCCAGCTGCGGGATGAACTCCGCCTTCCTCCTCAGGAGGTTGTTCCAGTCCAGTCCGTAGAAATACACGTGTTCCTGCAATAAAATAATTGTGATGAAGATTGATACACGTAGAAATCAAAAATCCTCATTATAGCCTGACCAGGAACATAAAAACCCTCGCCATGTTGCGGAAAACTAATGGTAATAATTTCTTTTAATGGCAACAGTAACTGAAAACTTCATTGACATGTCACCTTGCATGTCAGTCTATTGCTGTCAAAGTGTAAACAAACTTTATTTTAAATGTGCGCAATTGGTTTTATGAATTAAATTGCTAAAATATTTTTATAATCGTGAAAGAAAAGTGGTTCACAATGTGTTAAAGTATTTGTCGAAGAGAAATACTAAGGGTTCGAACAATATTTTCATTGAATAATGTTTCCGACAAAGGTTGTCAAATTGACTGACATGTTTATCGTATAGTACAGTCCACTATGAAAATTAGCTGTGGTTTGTTTCAACTACCTATTTTAAAAATTTTGTCACTTTCTAAGTGTTGAATTTTATGGGATTGGGAAAGAAGTACCGAGTTTGAAGCGTTCATGAGCAGACATTGCAGTTGAATATTCAAGTTCTGAATTTGATTATTGATGAATAATAAAATAAATCTACTAGCTCGATTGATGGTTTCATTTAATTTATTTAAATCAGGTTACCTATAATAATATTTTTTCGTTAATTTATGAAAATATCAAATTAGCCCGTAATCCTGAATCCTGATACATAAAGTTAGCCTATTAATTTAACACAGGTACGACTGTACTCAGTGTTGCACTATCAAATGCAATTGAGGCGCCTCTATGCCAGGGTTTTTATGTTCCTGGTCAGGCTATACATCAGTTTAACATTGCAGACTGCCAATGTACTGAATATAAAATCCCAGTCCCAAGAAGTGTCAAAGAGCATGATCCTGTCTTTCATCAAGCGCCTATCTGTTATCTTCTTGCGATCCATAGAGCAAGAGTCAGAAATGTAGATAGGGTAGGTCTATCGCCCTATTTTCCTATACCTTATTTTCAACAAAAATTTAGTTCACATTTACATTCATAGGGTATTAGGGCCCTACTGGGGGTGTACTATCTCAAATATTCGCGCTTCGGTTTACATTTTGGGACACCCTGTATACTAAACTGGGGGTGTACTATGTCAAAGCTTCGCGGTTCGGTTTGACGCTACATTTTGCACACACCCTGTATAGCTCAATAGTTATACCTTGACTTGATGCGTGCCGCCGGTGCCCAGGCGGTCGCGAGGGTTCCGCGCCAGTAGTTCGGTGATGATGCTGCGGCCTTCCACCGCTATAGGGAAGTCCTCCTCTGACGGCCACTCTATGTCGTCTGCGTAGGACATAAAATCGATTGAATACAGGCAGAAAATCTTTTTCAGAATAAGCTGGAGCTTAATTACAGAAGAGATAATGGTAGAGCGAGCTTTTCTATCTTAGTGTCAACTAACCAAGTTCTCCAAACACTCGATGCAGGCAGGATAAAAGAGAAAGAAAGTTAAACTTAAAGAGTGGCTTTTTTCTCACAAGCAGGACTGATTCTATCTTTTGTTCCCACTAGAACTCTTTTATAGCCAGGATTAACATTTGAGTCGTCAAGGACGCGTGAACGGCTGGGCCAATTTCTCTATTTTTTTCATTGTGTTTGTTATTATAAGGAGAAGGTTCTTATGTAAAATGCTAGCTTTTGCCTGCGGCTTCACCCGCGTGAAATTTATTTTGTCATAAATTATTGCCTATATGTTATTCTGGGTTATAAACAATAATACTGTAAAGTTTCGTCAAAATCTGTTCAGTCAGTCCGAGTAACAAACATGTTGACATCCAGACATCCATACAAACTTTCGCATTTATAATATTAGTAAGATTATATTAACTTTTGATAAGACAGGGCAACATATTTCGGGCTAGCTGTCCTGATACAATAAAATGACGGTTGAAAGGTTTCGGGAGACGCCTAACTGACCATATTGAATCCTGCTATTCAGAATAATACAGGAGTTGGACTTACCATTGACAGTGTGAGCGAACAGTTCTTCCGGAGTCTCTCCAAAGAAAGGCACGCAGCCCACCAGGAACTCGTATAGGATGATGCCCATAGACCACCAGTCCACTGGTTTGCCGTAGCCCTGAAAAATAGTTTAAAGTAAGTAGAGTTTATTGGTAAAGTTTTTAGTTTATTCACTTGGCGTGATGTGGGGTTTCTTGACATGATCTTATAAGAAAACTACATAACTTTTAAAGAATAGTACACATGCAACGTGACAAAAACGATGCAAGATTAAGTATCGCAAGAAACACAATACCACCCACATAGCAAAGGTGGCTTGTAAATCAATAAAATAGAACAGTTCTTTTTAGGGTTCCGTAATCAAATAGCAAAAAACGGAATCCTTATAGATTCGTCATTTAAATAAATGCTAATAAGTGACAAACGCCGTGTGGTGACGGCAGAGTAGAATACATTTGTCACCAACCCATACTCTTCCCGCGGGTGTCGTAAGAGGCGACCTAAGGACTACACATCAAACAGAGAACGGGCAGCAGCGCTCTCTGAAAAACATCAATCTTTTAAACTGCGATCTCCAACCCGCCTGCCAAGCGTGGAGATTATGGCAAATCCCTCCACTATAGTGGAGGAGGCTCATAGTCCAGCAGTGGACTGTAAACCTGTAAAGGGCTGTTGATGAAGTGACAAATGAGCGAACATCATGCCTCCCCAACCCGTCTGGCCAGGGCGTGGGGAGTATAGTCCAAATCCAATTTATTCAAAAAAATCCAAGTCAAAATCAAAATTAGAGAGGGTCGTGCTTCTGTAGTGGAGACTAAATGACCTCATGATCATGATGGCTTCCACAGCGGAGTAAAACTAAAAGACTTATTGATTCAAATTGATAGTGACTGATAATGTATATTAGTTTAATAGTAGTCGCACCACAGTGTTCTCAAACTATTGCGCACGCTATTATCGTACACGCTTTTTCATGTAAAATTTTTCTTGTTTCCAATAAATAAATTTTGAATTTGAAAAAAAAATACCTGTGGAAATAATTGAGGGAGGCCTATATTCAGCAGTGGACGTTTTATGTCTGAAATGTAGATGACATTACCTGCCGCAGTATGACCTCTGGCGCGATGTACTCAGGAGTACCGCAGACTTGCTTGTCCGAGAACTGTCGCGCCTCCCGATCCGCGTACTCCTCGTATAAGTTTGTTGCCACTGCGCAAGAATACAGGTTTAGCATTTAAAGAGACCCTAAATGTACAGAGGTTTAATGCCCATTTTAAACCTCTGTACATTTATACAAAATTCCTAACTCCTAACCCCTATGTATACAAAATTCCTGTTATTTGTTACCATAGGGTCACTTAAAAATTAGGGATTGATGTTTAAAACGGGCATAAAAGGTACAGAGGTCCAAAAGGTACAAAGGTCCAAAAGGTACAAAGGTCCAATAGGTACAGAAGTTCAAAAGGTACATAGGTCCAAGAGGTACAAAGTTTCAAAGGGTACAGAGGTCCAAAGGTACAGAGGTCCAAAAGGTATAGAGGTTCAAAAGGTACAGTGGTCCAAAAGGTACAGAGGTTCAAAAGGTACAGAGGTCGAAAAGGTATAAAGGTTCAAAGGGTACAGAGGTCCAAAGGTACAGAGGTTCAAAGGGTACAGAGGTCCAAAGGTACAGAGGTTCAAAAGGTACAGTGGTCCAAAGAGTACAGAGGTCCAAAAGGTCCAAAAGGTATAGAAACGTAACTTTAACAATTGACATTTATTGTAATAATAATTATTAGAAATTTTTGAAAACTACTTACGTGACATTAAACCCATTTTGCTGAGCCCGAAGTCGGTCAGTTTGATATGGCCCGTAGCGGTGATGAGCAAGCTGGAAACCAATTGGAATTTAATATTTTATAGTAGGCTATAGGTAGTCTTTTTCAACCATAGATGATTCCTGTGACGTTTCAAGTTTGATAGTTATAGAGATAGAGTTAATATGTAGTATCTACTACTGGAGAAATTGCAATATAGCTATTGTTTCACTGGTTTTCCGTTCCCAGCTTCGCCCGAGCGGAATTTATTAACATCGCTTAACTTAATAATCACACATCAACATAATATAGGATAATAAGGATTAGTTGAATAGGGAAGAACTAATAGGGTACCGCAGTCGCCGCCCTCATCCAACTCAGCTGGCGCTTCATCTCTAACGAGCCATTGTCACCTAAGTAAATAAGTCTACGTGCGTCATTCTTTAAATAGCAGGAAGCCGCTGGATGCAGGCCGCTACCAACCGGGCGATGTGGAAGTAATTGAGGGGGGCCTATGTTCAGCCTATGGACGTCCTGTGGCTGAAATAATAATGATGTGTCATTCACTCACTTATCAGGCTTCAGGTCTCGGTGCACGATGCCATAAGAGTGCAAGTATTCCACGGCTAGCACTGCTTCGGCGAAGTAGTGTCGCGCCATATCTGCGGGTAACGGGCCGGCTCGTAGTAGGGTGCCGCAGTCGCCGCCTTCCACAAACTCTAGTATCAGGCAGAGGTGGCGTTTCGTCTCGAACGAACCATAGTCACATGGGTGGATATATCTATATACGTACGTCATCCTTTAGGTAGCAGGAAGCCGCTGGATGCAGACCGCTATAATAGATCGTTTCATCCACGAAGACGCGCCCGACCATTATTCCGCTAATGTTTAAGTGTTATCGGCACACGCTAAATTATCCATGAGTGCACAGTGCACACGCACACTACAATAATGACGCTCGGATTGCTCGGATCAAACTCGCCGCACCCCGCGCTTCCCTCGACCAAAAATTGGTGACACGCGTCTTCGTGGATGAATCGATCTATACCAACCGTGCGATGTGGAAGTCATTGGGGGAGGCCTATGTTCAGAAGGGGACGTCCTGTAGCTGAAATGATGATGATGTGTCATTTACTCACTTGTCAGGCTTCAGGTCTCTGTGCACGATGCCATAAGAGTGCAAGTATTCCACGGCTAGCACTGCTTCGGCGAAGTAGTGTCGCGCCATATCTGCGGGTAACGGGCCGGCGCGCAATAGGGTACCACAGTCGCCGCCTTCTACAAACTCCAGTATCAGGCAGAGGTGGCGCTTCGTCTCGAAAGAACAGTACATTGTCACCTGGATGAAGAGAAGATATGTTTATTTCTTTGTTTGGACTGCAGTAATAACGATTCGAAGCGACAATAAGACTAAAGGTATACAGGGTGGCTGTACTAAATGTTTGGAATCTGGATTTTTTTATCCACAACGAGGGAGCTCTAGGCCTGTATCTCACCTGATGGTAAGTGACGATCAGGCCGAAGGTGGAAGCGAGCTTCACCCGGAATCGTCAACCACGGAGGAACTAGCTATCTTACCTCTAACTGCCGGAACACAACAATGCTGTTAACATTGTTGCTATGGCGACAGACTTAGGTAAGATGGTGGTAGCTAGCCAGGCGGACTTAGAACAAGCCCTACCATCAACCAAACCAAACAGAAAAATGTATTAGTCGGATAATTTATTCTGTAACCTATTATTGATAACATTTGATAGAGCTCATGAAGCACTTTCAGGCTCAGTTACCAGTTTTTCGACATTGTGTGTCGTTTAGAAATAATCGAATGAGATCTATTGTCGTTTCCACCCTGTATGATTATAGCATGATTTTTAAATTTCTCACATTGTAGAATAATAGTGCAACACTTACCACGAAAGGATTGTCAGCAAAACTGAGTATATCTCTTTCCGCGAACGCTTGCTCCACTTGGTTTCGAAGGATCAGGTTGTTTTTGCTTATCTTTTTCATCGCATACCTGAAATAAAAAGGTGCTTTAGCTTTTTTATCATATCAATAAGTACCTTATCTATTCATAGCTTTTTAACTGACAAAAAGGAGAAGTTTTATATTCAGCAATTTTTTTTATTATAATTATGTAAATAATATTACATTTATGTACAATTTAATGCTGTTGAAACATTGTTAAACAAATAAAATAAAAATAAATAAATAATTTCATTAAAATCAAATATTCGGTCAATTGATTGTGAAAACGGAACATTTGACATCAAACGTGGGTATATCCATCAAAAGATTAAGACGAAACAGCATTTTGACCTATAAAAAGAATCTTAATTGAATCGCGTTCTCTTTTTGTTTTTATTTACTAACTTTTAAAACATTGGAAAAAAAGCCAACAAATATTTCTCAAAAATTAACTGGTCTACCATTTTGAACTTACAAATAAAACCACGATCTGCAATTCTTCAAAAGAACTCACCTCTGCCTGGTCTGCTTGTGTTTGACGAGATACACGGCCCCGTAGGCGCCGTTTGAGATCAGCTTGATGACTTGGTAGTCGTTTTCCGACGGCGGCGCTCCGTTGATGGATCCGGGCGCGCCGGGCGGCGACTGACGGCCGCGGGTTCTGGAGATAATAAAACTCATTTGATTTTTGCAAGTAGGCTTTTAAAAGAAAGAAAGATACATTTATTACAATGGACATCACACAAATACAGGCAATTACATAGACAGGACAGTGGCACATAATAATGGAAGAAGAAAAAAATAAAATAAAAACAAGAGTAAACTGAGCAGAGCCACCAATTCACCAACAAGATGCCCACTGCAACGGGACCCCACTCAGCATATGCCGTGGCCCACGGTGACGAAGGCCATGGCGCTGGTTTTCAGTGTGCCCCATGCCGAGTGAGGGTCACGGACCATTGGTAAAATAAATAAAATAGTAAGCTAGCTAAGTAATAAAAGGCACTTTTACACGTCTTACTATTAACCCTACCACTGCTTCGGGTCAATAAATGGGTCAGTACTGAGAAGTAGCGCAAGAAACTCAGTCACTATCGTCAGCCACTTTTTCAAAGGCACCAAATAATTTGACAATAAGGTCAGTAACATGGTAGTGGGAAGAAGGGAGGGGAGTATATGAGGTATTAACTAAATATTAATAATTTTCTATCGCCTATGTATTTTCGTGATGTTATCTCATTCTTTGATAGGTCTCTGTCTCCCGCTTTGCAAGCAGTCGAAATTATATTCCAAATTCCTCCCATATTTTTCTTATTAAATTCGTTGGTGGTTCCAAGATAGTAAGCTATTTAACGTTCGCTGTTTGGGTTTCATTAAATGCCGGACTGTAGATTCTGGATTAACAGGCGTTGCCGTCCCTTTTCAATGAGGGCTATCGTTTTTATACTTAACAGTTGGCAACCCTGGCGATTGACAGGACCTTACTCTACAGTGGCGCCATCTTGATGAGTGCAAATACGATAGTCCTCCTACCACTTTAGCGCTCACAAGTTGGCGCCACTGTCTTCGCTACTAGCAAGTGACAGGACCTTACTCTACAATGGCGCTAACTGGTGAGCGCTAAAACGTTAGCCTCATTGCTCACAATAAAAAGAGATTTCAGAATTTTACAGTCAACACAAAGGTTACACACTTTTTAGCAAAATAACACTTATTCCAACTAAATGAGGTGCACTCACTTATTCGGCGATATGTTCTGCGGCGGAGGCGGTGGCGGCGGCGCGTGTAATTCGGCCAGCGGGTCGCGGGAGAGCCCTAGTTTGTGGATGATGTACTGAGGGATGTCTGTTGTTAAACCCTGGGGAAAAGATGGAGTTATTACAAACAGTCCTTGGGAAAACCTGGGGAAAAGAAGGAGTTTATTACAAACGGCCCCTGGGGGAGAAAGAGAGAAATATAATTTGAAAATTTCTTTCGTCGGCCAGACTTCTCGCCCGTCATACCCCAAGCCGTTGCATAAGACCGCGTAACAATTTATTGATTTCTTTTGTCTCGATTCACGGGGCTTGAGGGCTTATAACTCTATGCTACATCGTAAGTTAACCTTCTCATTTCATCCTTCAGCTTAATATTTTTTTTGCCAGGGCCATCGTCGTCAGGGCTGTCAGCCACTTTGCCTATGGGGATTCTAAACATCTGTTCTCTACTGTACTTTCATGGGGGAAAGGGAGAAAAGCAGACAGCTGCCCGTCTCGTCTCGTGTTACAGGAATTAGCCACCTCTTACTCTCGCGTCACTAGGGATGCCACTTGCGCGCCCGCTTCTGATGACTTCTATCGCGTCTGTGTCTGCAGATGGCGCTCATGGCCCTCTAGCGACTTGAGCTTACGGTCACACAACTGCAGATGTCTCTAGTTCACGCCTCCAGCAACCAGTACCAGCCGCGTCACTAGAGGAGCCACTTGCGCGCCCGCTTCTGATGACTTCTATCGCGTCTGTGTCTGCAGATGGCGCCCATAGCCCTCTAGTAACTCGAGCTTACCGTGCGTGTCTCTCTAGTTACTCCAATCTACCTCGCATCTCTCTAATGCCTCGAATTTACCTGGCATGTCCTTCAAGTGTCTCGAACCTACCGCGCGTGTCTCTCTAGTGGTTCGAGCCTACGTCACACACCTGCAGATGCCTCGCGTGGCCCTCGCACGCCTCCAGCAGCCGGTAGAACCGCTCCGGGTCGAACTCCAGGCACTCCAGTAGCCGCGTTACTAAAGGAGCCACTTGCTCGCCCGCTTCTGATGACTTCTTGCGCGTCTGTGTCTGCAGATGGCGCTCATAGCCCTCTAGTAACTCGAGCCTACCGTGCGTGTTCCTCTAGTTACTCCAATCTACCTCGCGTGTCTCTCTAATGACTCGAATTTACCTGGCATGTCCTTCTAGTGTCTCGAACCTACCGCGCGTGTCTGTCTAGTGGTTCGAGCCTACGTCACACACCTGCAGATGCCTCGCGTGGCCCTCGCACGCCTCCAGCAGCCGGTAGAACCGCTCCGGGTCGAACTCCAGGCACTCCAACAGCCGCGCCGGCCGCGCCATGGCCAGCACCAGCCGCGTCACTAGAGGAGCCACTTGCGCGCCCGCTTCTGATGACTTCTCGCGCGTCTGTGAAATACCCATCAGCATAATCAGGTCATTTAGTCTTGCAGCAGTCACTGCAGGCAGACCCTCTCTAATTTACCAGAAGTGGAAAGATGGGAGATTTACGCCCGTATTCACAAACGATGTTTGCTTAAGTGAGGCAGCAAATCGAACGCACAGCGTTGGATAGAGCTCTGTGATTGGTTCGTGTGACCCTGTGCGTCCACGCGCACTGTGAGACCTCATAGTAATGTTTGTGAATACGGGCGTAAGTCTTATCCACCAGAGGTTACGTAATTATTGCCAGAACGTGAAATTCAGTTGCTTCAGACGCTTCAAAATATTGGCGCCCAACATGTAGCTTTCTGATACATCTTTAAAATTATACTCCTATCTCGTGTCTGTTATCGCGAACATAATTTAGTGAGTAAACTTTTAATAAAGCTTAAATGAACGTTTTATCAGTTCAAAAAACGATTTCACATTTTGGCGCCCAACATGTTGTTTTCCAAATTATTGTTCACTTTCTTAAGGTCTTGCAATCACTAAGAGCTATGTCTGTAATGTATTTTTGTTATTAATTAACGTTACCTCAGCCAAAAGTCGGTCTAAGCTGTCGGCCATATCGTAGAAATAGCTGCTGGTGACTTGTTTCGATTCAGACTTGTGCAAGCAGTCGCGGGCCATTTCCAGTACCTGCACACAGAAAATTAAAACAAATGAAACATAAATTAATTAAATTCAATATGTGTAATACAATAAAGATTTGGAAAATATAGTGTTGAGTTGTGGATTCGATTAGTGAATGATTGAAAGTGATTTAAATGGGTGAGATGTAATAGTAAATTTCTCCACTAATAAAGTTTTTGCGATGTTTTTATATTTACAAGTTTCACAAAGTTAAACGATAACTTCGACAGAAAATGAAATGTGAATGCTTTGAAGGCTTTTGACAAGTATGTTTTGCGAAAAAGAGTACATATAATGTGTTTCTATATCCGCTTTGCAACGGAGGGAAGTCGAACTTAAACTTCGAACTCCTCCTATGTTCTTCTGATTAATTTCGTTGCGATGGCAGTTTAACTTTTACCCGGGACAAACTTGACCTTCACTGGTTGGGTTTTTATTGGCGGTCAAGCTTTAGATCCTGGCTACACAGGAGTTGCAGTGGTGGTAAAGTGAGTTGGGAATAGTCCCGTATGTGTTTCAATAATGGATTTTGAGTCAATGAAATAATGAACATAAAAATGATTTGAAAATTACCCAACCTTATTTGAAGCAGTAATAAGCATCAAAGTCAAATAAAATTTAGTTAATCAATAATATTACATATTATACATTATGTAAGCCTGTAAATTAAAGTGCGCCCTGTGTTATAAATCCAGAAAGTCCTGAGATTACCTGTCTCTGAACAAATCTCTCTATAGGCGGTCGGTCTGGTTTCTTATCTAACTCGGTCACCTCCTCGATTAGGGATCTCAGTCTGGAAGAAAAGTCTTAAATAAATACCATAACATTTTGATCTCAACCTAAGATACTTCAATGGATTTTGAATCTTATACTAATGTAAAAAAGTTCAAAATGCATTGGGGAAATGTACTATTTTTTCATAATTACGTTGCATAGTAATAATTCAGAGCTAGATTGAGACTCGGTTTCCACCAAATCATGGAAAAGAACAGACGAGAAAAGAGGTGTTTTGAACAACCAATCAGATTTTGTTGTCTCGTCTGCGCTCAGGGGGGCTACTCCGAAACGCTGTTTACACAGTTTCAGGTCTATCTATCACCGTCGCTCATGCTGGCATCTCGCTTTGTGCGAGGGGAATGGCAACATACGAAACTTCGGATGACGTTTTTCGGAGTAACCCTACGCTTTGTTTCATGAATCAGAGGTGGAATTATGTAAAGCAATCGTATTCATTTGACAGTTCAAAACTAACGCTATATTCTGTCAAACGCCTTGTTAAACAGATTTTATGGTACGTTTTGAACTGTCAAATGAATACGATTGTACCAGCCCATATGTGGTCCCGAAGTGGTGGTAGGGCAAGATATTATTTCGGACGTGTATAAGTGCCCTAGAAAGATCCTATGTATTGAATAAACTATTTGAATTTGAATTGCTTTACACAATTGCACCTCTGATTGGTTATTCAAAACACATCTCTAGTCTCTTCTCTTCTTCGCTAACTGGGCCTAACAACCTAATTCTGTAAAGCTGTATACTCACTTGTCGTTCATAGCCTTTTGCGCGGCAGGGAAGCGCGCGGCGAATAGTGACGACATGGCCGAGACTGCGTCATCACGCGCGCCTTCACCGCCGCTCCCGCCCGCACCCCCCGGGGAACGAGACGGGGAACTGTGAGAGAGAAAGACATACTTAATAATAAACAATAATAACATTTTACATTGCGTCATCTCGTCCCCAAGGAAACCATGTTTGACCTATTGACACTAGAAAAAATAAACTGGAAGTGGACATAGAGGAGCAATATGGTAGAAAAGTTCTGGGATGGAGAGCACTTACCGACAAGTGAAGGCTATGGAGGTTGAAGGAAGCAGGCCACTTCCAGGTGGGATCACATTGCGTGAGGTCCATCTTTTGATCAATCGCTTGAAAGATGACCGATCTTTGTGGAAATCCTTGATGTCCGGCAGTGGACGTCCTATAGCTAAAATAACGATTTTATGATGATGTGTGATAGACGTGAATGCCCGAGACTTCGCCGCGTCGGACTCTGGGGAGGCCTATATCCAGCACTGGACAATAATATCTTATGCTTGAGACAATAAATAATGACTGATGTTTGCACACGCATCGTACCTGAGACTCCAGCTGCTTATGCGACGCGGTAGTCTCCGGGGAAAGCCTATATTCAGCAGTTAACGTTCTATAGCTAGAATAACGATGATGATGATATGTGGTAGATATGTACTCCTGCGCATGCCGTGCTATGTCCTATAGCTGAAATGATGTCAGTGAAAATGAAGCACGTACATACGCATATTACCTGAGCTGAGCTTTAGCCTAGCGCGCCGAGCCAAGCTTTGGGCCTCCAGCAGTGGACGTCCTACGACTGAAATGGCAATGACGTATATTTGTCAATGTATACCTGAGACTGCGACTCCGCACGCGGCGCGCCGGGCTCTGTGGGGGAAGCCTATGTCTAGCAGTAGATGTCATTTAACTAAAGTAACGATGATGCTGATGTGTGATAAACGTGAATAGTCGCCGCGCCGGGCTTTGTAGTGAGGCCTATGTTCCGCAGTGGACGTCCTACGGCTACGACTGAAATGGCAATGACGTATATTTGTTAATGTATACCTGAGACTCCTGCTGCGCACGCGTCTCGCCAGGCTTTGTGGTGAGGCCTATGTTCCGCAGTTCTGAGAGTCCTATGTTCCAGTGGACGTCCTATGAAATGGCAATGACGTATATTTGACAATGTATACCTGAGACTGCGACTCCGCACGCGGCGCGCCGGGCTCTGCGGCGACGGCGCGCGCGCGTGCGCGTGGCCGCTGCCACCGCTGTCGGACAGCGACGCCCAGTTGTTCATGCCGCTGCCTTGCGAGCTGCTGTTGGAGGAAAAACAATCGTATATTTTCTTTTCTCATAAAAAATCAAATTACTTAATGAGGGCAATCGTTTTTATACTTAACAGTTGGCATCCCTGGCGATTGACAGGACCTTACTATACAGTAGCGCCATCTTGATGAGTGCAAATGCGATAGTCCTCCTACCACTTTAGCACTCACCAGTTGGTGCCACTGTCTTCGCTACTAGCAAGTGACCGGACCTTACTCTACAGTGGCGCTAACTGGTGAGCGCTAAAACGATAGCCCTCATTCCTTTACTTGTGACAAAAGTTGTCTTTTTAATTTAAAACAAAACGGTACGTACCAGTGACGTAACTATAGGTTGGCAGGGCTGGCAAAATGCCACGGGCCTCCGTCCCGAAGGGGCCCCTGCCCAAGACCCTGATCGTCCCCGTCCCCCTCGCGATGTTTCAGGGCGCGATGGCCCCGGGACCCCCCTGAATATAAACCAAGTGCCCCACCATGCCCAGAATTTGCTACGGGCCTCGGATGGTATAGTTACGCCACTGGTACGGACGCCTCTCAAACGTTCCCGTTACGTTTGACAGGCGTTTGCAAGTTTGAAATGGTACTTATTAGTACACAAATATGATTAATGGGGAATAATGGCAAATGTAATGCTGCCATCACATTATAGGATACGAGACTCAGAAGCGCCACATTACAGGTACAATCGTCATCACACCACACATTTCTATTGCAGAACTGCAACTTACTTGAGAGAGTTCTGATGCTGGTGGCAGTGCGGGCAAGGTGCTCTTGGTGGCTCGCACACCGCCTGCACCGCCAGCAGACGCTCCTGCGACGAGCATTGTGACTGCAACAAGGGGGAGAGGCGACACGTTAGTATAATGCCCGTTGTCACCATCAATCCCTAATTTTTAAGTGACCCCTATGGTGACACATAATAGGAACTTGGTCACTTAAAAATTAGGCCTGGTTCAGACAAGCGCGATAATCGTGCGATTTCTGGGTGGTTTTCATTGGCGAGGCAATGAGGCGGTAACCGTGCGGGTACGGTTTGACGTAAAATGTACGAGAACTGCCCAGCAAATGCGCGATTATCGCTGTCTGTTCCAGGGCTAATTATAGAAAGGAATTATTATTTATGCTGACAGTAGCCCCTCTTGCGAGGAGCATTGTGACCGCAACAAGAGGGAGAGGTTACACACGTTACAACAACATTAAGGCTTGGGTCAGACAAGCGCGATTACTGCGCGGTTTCTAAGTGGTTTTCATTGGCGAGGTAATGAGTCGGTAACCGTGCGGGTACGGTTTGACGAAAAATATACACCCGGTCTGTGAGCACGTAGAATTTTGTCCAATGACCCCAAGCTACCTATCCTTATCGCTCGCGCGTAATTATATTGCTGTCGCAACTGTGCGACGGGCGCCCGCAGTGAGTGTGCGAGCTATCATTTATGCTGACAGTAGCCGCTTTTGCGAGGAGCATTGTGACTATAATTAACAAGGGGGAGAGAGACGATACGTTAGTATAAAACAACCATTGGTGATACGGTACTATTTGGCGTTACGGATTCGGATAGTTGACTTGCTGATTGTTGATAACGTTAACCCAGAACTAAGTGAGCGTTTGAACACCACCAAACCGATTTTCCCAACTAAAAGAAATATTCGCGAAAGAAAAAGCGTGTAGGGTTTTTTAGAGGAAAATGGAACCCGTAATCCTTAAATGTCCAAAGTTTAAAGACGGCCCTGGAGATATCCAGCTGTCAATATTAATCCCCACTGATATTACCTTTTTTTTATCCACAACGAGGAAGCTCTTGGCCTGTATATCACCTGATGGTAAGTAACGATCAGGCCGAAGATGGAAGCGAGCTTCACTCGGAATCCTCAACCACGGAGGAACTGGCTATCTTATCATTATTTGATTACATTTCCGTGGTTTTTGTTAATTATTCTGAATACAGATCAGAGAACTCTACGAAATCATCAGCCATTATTACCAATAATACCTACATGATTAAATCGATAGCAACATGATTAATTATATCTATCGTTTTATGACTCGCACTTCAGCGGTAATCGAATGACAAACAACGACTGCACTCGATCGAATGAGAGATAGCATCGATAATGCAATTCCGTTTAACAGCTTTTGTTTGTTGTTGAGTAATGTATTAACTTCCTACTTCATTTGATGATTTCTGATTAACAAAGAATTAATCATTAATGAACGTAGTCGCTCACTATGGACCTCAAAAGGTTCAAAGTCACCCAAAGGGCAACGGAGCGTGCTATGCTCGGAGTTTCCCTGCGTGATCGAATCAGAAATGAAGAGATCCGCAAGAAAACCAAAGTGACCGACATAGCCCGCAGAATTGCTAAAATCTAGTGGCAATGGGCGGGGCACATAGCTTGCAGTCACATCACATAGCTCGTCATGTGGCTGAAACGAATCATTAATTACTCAAATCAAAAGCTCAATTATTAGTGGACTAATTAATATTATTACTTGCAAATCACAGATCCCACCCCCTACAGCTGCCAATGGAACAGATGGTAGGTAACATTCTGAAGAAATGTGGAAAGGAAATAAGTAATACAAATATTTTGACGTATTTTCCGTTTTCCAATATAGACTTGCGGGTAAAATGAGTCACTAATTTCAATTAGGTACCTTGTCTTGAAATATAATTGCATTGTCCATTTAAGGCAAAACTGAGCAGTAAAATACCATATGCATGACTTTGACGTACCTACATCATTTGTCATTGATTCATAGGGAAATCATTATTAATTTCGGTAATTTTGTTCTACAAAAGCCTGTTTCTGTTCAACATAACCCACTTTTTAGCTAGACATAACAGTAGGTAATTTATTTTCTACCAATTTTAAAGCACTTTTCTAAAACCCATTAAAACTTTAATCCTACAACTGCTTTGAGACAATAAGTAGACAAGTGTTGAGAAGCAGCTCAAGACAGTGAATAAAACATTGTAACTCTACATTTTCGGTGCATTGCGCACCCTTTTGAACTCGAGTCGGTGTCTCCTCGAAAGGATGCGCGATGCCAAAACAAGAGCGTCCGCGGAAGACCAGCTTCTTGACATGCCCTTACGAGCATATCTAAAGTCTGGTCGCACAGTCACGACAGCAATATAATTACGCGCGAGCGATAAGGATAGGTAGCTTGGGGTCATTGGACAAAATTCTACGTGCTCAGCGACCAGACTATAGATTAATACTGAGAGCCCATTGGCGCAGTGGCTCACTAATTGTTTTTATTCTTGTTGTTGTTTTTGTTTATATGCGATTAGATTCAATAGTCTAACGCCCGTATTCACAAACAACCAATGACAATGGGTGACACACGAACCAATCACAGAGCTCTATTCGACGCTGTGCATTCTATTTGCTGCTTCACTTAAGCAGGCATCGTTTGTGAATACGGGCGTTATTCTATTCATTATATTTTTCTACATCCAACAAAGTTTCCAAAAGGTTCCTTTACAAGCTCCAAACACACGTAAAGTCCACAAAGTCGTAACTTTTATATTTCCCCGTAGATGGCGAACTAATACTTTGAGTGTGTTGTGTATAGTCTGAGTAGTAATGAAGAGTGATACGGGTACAGTCAACGTAGAAATACAGTTTATTCTTTTTGAGACACTAACGAAAGGTTGAGATAAAAACAATGTCCGAAAATGTAAGTTTTCTTTTTCCTCTTGTAATTCTGATTAAGTGCCGTATTGTGAAACTTTTGTATTACCTTATTTTTTAATAATTTATTTGAACTTAAAGAGGCGTAATACGTAGCGTGGGCAAACTAAAAACATCTTAGGGGCAGACCTCCTACTAGGTGGACCGACGATCTAGTAAAGATCGCGGGAAGAACCTGGCTGCGGGCAGCGCAGGACCGTTCATTGTGGAAAACCTTGGGGGAGGCCTTTGTCCAGCAATGGACGTCATTTGGCTGAAACGAACGAACGGAAGAACGAAAAAAAAATGCCTAAATGGTCTCTGGCCAGAACAGTCATCCGTCAAATTAACTGTAACTCCACCAATATTTGTCCAACATTGAACCGTCCAAACTATGACATGGTCAGGAGGGCGCTATATCAATACTGGATTATTAGTTCCTATTCTTCTTTTCGTCACGACTACAAACCTAAACAGTGTCAGCCCAAAACTCCGTCACAAGAGTGGCGTTGTCAGCAGCACTCATCAAATCCTCCTGAGGGCAGTTGCTCAGGCACTCAGGGCTCGACATCAGTTCAGTTCCTATTTTTGCCACGTTGGACAACCTTATAATTATGACATTTTCAGGAGGGCGCTACTTACTATCAATACTTGGTTGTTAGTTTCGATTTTTGCATTTTTGTCTTTGTTTTGTCAAAAAAACTTCAAAAAGATTATTTCACTTTTTTTGCGTACCGTACTCTGGACCCTTTGGGAACTGAGCCCTGGCCCTGCGAACTAGGGATATCGGCAATTTGATGGCATCCTTATTTTGTGATTTAGTGCCGCGCATTCACGTAGTTATAGAACATTGGCAAAAGGTATTGACGTAGTGCCTAGTTGTAGATAAAGAACATACCTACTTGAAGATTTTTTTTGCCTATTTTTTCAACCGACTTCAAAAAAAGGAGGAGGTTCTCAATTCGACCCGTATGTTTTTTTTTTCTATGTTTGTTACGCGATAACTCCGCCAATTATGAACCGATTTGAACAAATCTTTTTTCTGCGTATAGGTAATACCTCAAGGGTGGTCTCATTTAAATTTAATAATAGAAAAAACAACCCCCAAGGGTGGAAAATTGGGGATGAACTTTTTTATACGCAATATCTCCGCCGATTATAAATCAATTTGAACGATTATTTTTTTGTTGAATAGGTATTATCAAAAGGGTGGTTTCATGCGAATTTGAAGAAAATATTTCACCCCCAAGGGTGGAAAATTGGGGATGAACTTTTTTATACGCAATATTTTCAATTTTTAGTTTTTTTTTTGTGTTCACGCATTTGAAGTCGGTTTTATTTTTTTAAAAAGTTAATTATTCAATTAGTTTTTAATGTATGAGAGTATCAGGCAAATACAAAGGTAGTTAGACTAGATTTCTTTTAACTTCAACTTGCAAATAATAATGGAGCTGATAATTTTATCATACATTTTGCATAATCTAACCATCTGAAGATGTCTGACCGTTTGCATGGTTGAAATGCCTCCAATCATGGCATTAAATCACTGTTTGAGTTTCAATCATGTTTTAAGAGGGGTACCTTTCTGATGAAGTCCCTAACAACTTATCTGCCAGATAAACTTTATTTCACAAGTCTCAGATAGAGATATCTGGCAGATAAGGTCACCTGAAACTAACCTTTAGATTAGTAGTGGTAGTAGAATTGATATAAACTTACTGATAAGCTGGAGCTGCCCGGGGTGGTTCCGTACCCGGAGGAGGGAAGCGACGCCACCGACCACCTGCGACCATCGCTGTGGACAAACATTTGGAACTCTATTAGTATAGAAATACGAATCAAAATGTTGTATCAAAAAGAAAATTGCCCCCTACTAATCTGTTTTCTCATCATCATCATTTCAGCCACAGGACGTCCACTGCTGAACATAGGCCTCCCCCAATGATCTCCATATTGCCCGGTTGGTAGTGGCCTGGGCCTTAAGCCGGTTGCAGACCAAGAGCTAAGCTAAGTTAGTTTCGTTTAGCTCGCATAGCTGACGCAGTTTTTTCATAGTCGTGTGTAGACTGAAAACTATGCCAATTCTATGGGAAACTGCGTCAGCTATGTGAGCTAAACGAAACTAACTTAGCTTAGCTCTTGGTCTGCAACCGGTATTACTGCTCCGCTACCTTTATGGGTTCTATTTTATTTAAACAAAAATGTTTCAAACCTTGTCTATTTACATGCTGGTCGAAGTCCAAGAGCAAAGCTAAACTTAGCTTAGCTCTCAAAACTGACGCAGTATTCCATAGTGTTTGCATAGTTTGCGGTTTGCACACAATCATGGAAAACTGCGCCCGCTATGCGAGCTAAGCTAGACTAACATAGCTTGGCTCTGGGTTTACAACCCTTATTATTAATCCAACAAAATCTCAAGTTTTTATTGGTGTTCTATAGCTATAAGACTTATTTTTCCCTATCACAATGTCTTCATTTCTGCTGTGTTTTTCCAGAGACATAGCCTTGTCATAAATTGGTAATTAACATGTTTACCGGAGGGACATCCTCTGGGAGTTCTCGAGTCGGATTCGCCGACCCAAAGACTTAGGTATTGCTTATCTTGAGGGTAGGATAATAATATTATGTTTGTCTCTATAATACATAATGTATCGTAATACTGAGATCATATTCTGGTGAAATTCTTTTCTTTTTTTGTTTCTTTTCGTTCTGGTGAAATCTTCTTTAATCGTGTGGGTTTTGGTCACAATTCTGGTGTGAGACTTTGAATGAAACAAGAACTCCTCAATGACCCTGCGTACAGCCAGCGTCAAATAATTCATGACTCCCAAAGTGGCCAAAAAGTAGACAACAGAACCTAATTCCAATGAGGGCTATCGTTTTAGCGCTCACCAGTTAGCGCCACTGTAGAGTAAGGTCATGTCACTTGCTAGTAGCGAAGACAGTGGCACCAACTGGTGAGCGCTAAAGTGGTAGGAGGACTATCGCATTAGCACTCATCAAGATGGCGCCACTGTAGAGTAAGGTCCTGTCAATCGCCAGGGGTGCCAACTGTTAAGTATAAAAACGATAGCCCTCATTGCAACTAAGTCGTGTTGGGAACTATTTAGCTACTTTGGGTGTCACAAACTATTTGACGCTGACTGTACATCTAGTAGAAATGTTAATATGTCTTAACTAACCCTTAACTTGACGTTTGTTTTTTTATCTTATCTTAAGCACTAAATAAGATACACTGATACAAGTAGGTCGCAAAAACATTATTAACTTAACTAGGGCGTGATTAACTCTTTCTTAAGCCATTACAAAATCAACTAAAATATCAATAATCTAATCTATCCAATCAACTTATGAGTATGTACTTACATATCCTTGGTTCTTATTTGGTTAGACATGTAAACACGAGGGAGGGCTATTAAATTTGGCATTACTACGCAAGTGCACGTATTGGCAAAACACCAGGAATCCGTGCGGTACGTTAGCTTAGTTACTGAACTAAATATGTTATTATAGCTAAATAAAGCTACGGAAATAGGGAATAGGTAAATAATAGGGATAAATGTAGCATCAGTCATACATATTTACGTATACTTACGTCAGGCCTCGACGGCATTAGGCCATAAGTCGCAAAAGGTACTCATAGCTTTTGCTAAACTCATGAGCAGAACCATAGCTTCATAAAGGTAACAACGCTCTCGCTATGGGATCCACAGGTTCTTGTAGCACTTTAATACAGCAGTTATACAGCAGGATTGGTTCCAGCTAAGATGTGAGCGCCCGTAGTGCCCACGCATACTCACAGCAGATTGCCGATCTTGAAGCTTGACTGCAACTTGATTTAATCTACCCATACCGCTTCATAAATCCGTAAGCTTTAGTGAGTTTCAGCAGGGATGAAGCGCTGCCAGGTACTCACGGCTCCAAGGAGGAGCGTCAACACGCTGATAGCTTCATAGGTGGAAAACCATCTTTTCTACTACCTATGGTGCTGTCTACCTGTCTCGATACATCGTTTCAGCCGAAAGACGTCCACTGCTGGACAAAGGCCTCCCCCAAATTCCCCCTTCTCGATACATAATGAACCGAATTTTGGGAGACCGCGTAGGTAGAGGACAGTTGGACAGGTCTACGATAGCATTATAGTTAACACACAGCTTCATGACTGCTGGTGCCCACAGCTTCATGACACGGATAGCTTCAAAGGTGGAGGATAGTTGGCCGGTATACGGCTGCAATACTCCCAATAGACCCCACTACAGTGTTGCCAGGTACTCACAGCTCCTTGCCGCGCTTGACGCTGGACTGCAACAGCGCATGGTGCAGCGGGTGCGGGTGGTGCGAGTGCGTGAAGCGGACGCCCTCCGCCGGAGACAGCGGGCCCGTGCCCGGCGAGCTGCATCTACCGGACCCGACCTGGTGACAAAAGATTCAATGTATAAAAAATCGTCCAAATCGGTCCACCCGTTTAAGAGTTACAGTGACACAGACGCTCTCTTGGTCTTTATAAAACCTCCTTTTTGCGTGGAAAACTGGGAGCCCCTCAAAAACTGGGAGTCCCTGACGTGTCTTGCTAGTATTGTATACAGAGAAGTCTTGAGTTCCTGGCTGTACAGTACTGAGGAATTGGCCGCTAAGTTACGGACATTTGTCGACAACTCTATTATTTACTCATTTGGTCATTTGCGAGTGAGCGAAAGAAGCAGATATGCCACGAGTTCTAAGAATGTAGTCGATATTTACTTGCTAATTTTTATTATTTTGGGTAACCGACGGCGCATGCCCATGTTATGAGTGTGACACAAAATTTTATTCTGAAGAGCTTTAAAGGTGATGTGGCCTTCGGGTCGGGTGACGAAAATGGGGACAACCTGGGAGAAATATACATATGCAAGTAACTCTGTATATCCGTCACCGAAATCAACTAAAACTAATACGCAAACTATATTGAAAAATCTAAATAAACCCTGAAAATAACTATCTACAAGTTCTGTTACAGTACAGTCTGTAGGTATACAAACCGGGCATAGATAACCTACACGACCCGAGATATAATTGAATTATTAATTAGAACCTCATTAGATGATTGATTAATTGCAACCTTTGTGAAAGGGTTATTGTACCCGAGAACAGCTTAGCAACTTGTTAGTAGAAAAACTTGGCTTTTTCTAGCCGAGCCCAATCCTGTCCGGTGATTACTTTATCAACAATGGTATGCCAATCACCAGCTTATGAATCAGCCAACCTAACACGAAATTTTGAACCTAACACGAAATTTTGAACCTTAAACTTAGGTGTTTAAACTTCAAAATCCATTGGTGAAATCGGTCAGTGGCAGGTTGACGTGACGGCGATTATGGTAGCAGGAAAAAACAAACAAGTTTTACTATTATGTTCTGGCGATAGCCGTGTACTATGTGTACATACAAGCTATGTGTTAAAACAACAAGAGGCGATATAATGACTTGGTACCAGAAGAGTAAATGTGTGGGGAACTTCAAGTCCGTTGAACTGACTAAAATTTAGTATAGCCTGACCAGGAACATAAAAACCCTCGCCATGTTGCGGAAAACTAATGGTACTAATTTCTTTTAATGGCAAGAGTAACTGAAAACTTCATTGACATGTCACCTTGCATGTCAGTCTATTGTTGTCAAAGTGTAAACAAACTTTATTTTAAATGTTTGCAATTGATTTTGTGAATTAAATTGCTAAAATATTTTTATAGTCGTGAAAGAAAAGTGGTTCACGATGTGTTAATGTATTTGTCGAAGAGAAATACTAAGGGTTCGGACAATATTTTCATTGAATAATGTTTCCGACCAAGGTTGTCAANACAGTCCACTATGAAAATTAGCTGTAGTCTGTTTCAACTACCTATTTTAAAGTTTTTTGTCACTTTCTAAGTTTTGAATTTTATGGAATTGGGAAAGAAGTACCGAGTTTGAAGCGTTCATGAGCAGACATTGCAGTTGAATATTCAAGTTCTGAATTTGATTATTGATGAATAATAAAATAAATCCTACTAGCTCGATTGATGGTTTCATTTAATTTATTTAAACCAGGTTACCTTTAATAATATTTTTCGTTAATTTATGAAAATATCAAATTAGCCCGTAATCCTGAATCCTGATACATAAATTTAGCCTATTAATTTAACACATGTACGACTGTACTCAGTGTTGCACTATCAAATGCAATTGAAGCGCCTCTATTCCAGGGTTTTTATGTTCCTGGTCAGGCTTTAACAATAGAGTGCTAATCTTATTCCACTTTGATCACCTGGATTAGATCACTCCATAAAGTGGACTCCAGGCGCTTTGATCACTCATGGATAAGAAAGAAGTCCACTTTGATTACCTAGGTGATCTTTTCAATTGGTAATCAAAGGACACCAAGTGTGGTGAAAGGTTGGACGAACAGTTGGACTGTTTGGCTAGTGTGGAACCGGCATTAATTGTATCCACAGATATAGATATACATAGATAACGCAAGTAACACGATCTGTATTAAAACCAAGCGTGCCGACTTTTTAATACCTACTGTGACGTCACAGCCAACATTTAGTGACGGGAAATCGTAATCGATTCAAAGATGCCGATGCCGCCGTTGCCCCAACGCACCGCTACGATCATAGAAATGGCATCGATTATATGACAGACGAATGAGATACACAGACGAATGAGATATACAGACGAATGATATTAAACGGAATGTTTAAATAGATAATATTTTCATTGAATTTTAAATAAAAATGTATAATTCTAAAACAGATTGCTTATTATAATACATCGTTGCTGCGCGGGCATTTTTCGAGCCGCCAGTGTTGTCACACATAATTAATCCTGTTTAAGATTATTTTGAGACAAAGTCACATGTAGTTTTCTTTAAAAAAAAACAATTAAATAGCTACAAAACGCTAATTAAACCTAATTGATTATACTTTTCCTAGCGGAATCCCCGTACTACTCCGCCCGCATGCCCTGCCCCTCCTTTGTGCGTAAACAAGTCGGAGCGCGCGAACAACGTCGGTCAAGAAACTTGGGATTATATTTTTTACGGAACCCTTGCGGCCTTTCCGCGGAATCCCAGGGTTCCGCGGACCACCTTTCGGGAACCGCTGGTCTAGACCTTGAGAAAGGACATAGGCTACTTTTTATTGCGAAAATTCCACGCGGACGAAGTCGCGAGTAACAGCTAGTATTTTATACGTTATTGATAAAAATATTGTTACTCATTAAACCTATTCACTAACCTCATCATCATTGTCAATCCGTTTTAATATATGTATAGTGGGGCATGCCGTTTTTTTTAACAATCTCTTCTTTTTTTAAAGGTCAATAAAACAGGTACTTTCAAAATGAATTGAACAAATGGTACTATGTTTAGTCGGAAACCAGTCTTTCCGGCCCGTAGCCGCGATCCATTTTTCTTTTAATATTGCATCTTGTGGGAAACTAGGAAAAAAAAGACATATAAATACTACAAATACACATTAATTAGAATATTTATTTATATTATTATGAGAGTTATTTTTTAATAATCATTAGTATCATTCGTCTGTCCGATATCGATAAGAATCGATTATTGATTAAAGTAGTAGAACGAACAACACTAATAGCAAAATTTGACAGACGAATGAGAAATTGCGTGTACAACGAAGTCGAAGCGATGCGCGACAGTGGCGCTTGTCCGTTATACATCGCCTCTTAACACATAACGTCAGATCAAACGCTCAAAACAAACCCGGCAATGTATCGTAAAAAAAATTGTTGAATGGTAAGTTATAGATTTTTAGGTACATTCTTGAAACCAACGCTTGGAATACTTAAAAAAGTGTTTTAAAATGAATTAACACTTAATACAATATTAAAATAACTTACCCGTGATAGGAAATATGTCCTTGCCTTTGGGAGCTCGAAGTTTTTGGCTTATTGCAATTAATTATCACACATTGAGGCATTTTTCTAGTTTTCGCGGCCGTCCGCATGCAACAACAGACGCGCGTGGACTGTAAGCAGCGGCAGCTCATTCCGATGATTTATCGGGATCGGGACACGCGAAGTAGGTGCATTCGCGTTATCTAGGTATATCTATATCTGTGATTGTATCACTATCCTACATTCTACCTTCACAAATGCATCGCACGATTGCTATATAAGGTTCGACATCTAGTCTACAAGTCTATAGTAGATGCAATGGAAATCGATATGGCGTAAACGAGCTTCGCTGTGGGAGTCTGCTTCGATAGCTTTTTATGGCGACGCTAAATGGATGATGGCGAAAAGATTTTACTATGATAAACGAAGCAATTATAATCATGATTGGTTCGGCACACTTAGATGTGATCGGAAGAACATGTGCTCTTTTTAGATTGTGTGCATTTTTCATCTGGTTAGATGCAAATTAAAGATTGGTGCTAGTCGACGTAGCACATGATGTCGTGCCCTGCGTGCCCAAACAACTGCTCGCCAGAAGATTTAATGAATGCTACTGACAACGCCACTCTTGCGGCGGAGTTTTGGGCTGACACAGTGTTGGTTTGTTGTCGAAGGTGCTAAAAGGCGTAAACAGGTTACTTTTTTAATATGGAACTGTAAAGAAGCAGAAAAGTTCATGAGTCGCGGTCACGAGTCAGAAAATGTAGTATAGTAACGTAAACTTAAGTTGACTGTGCAGTATCATAAGCTAGTATTCTTAATACGGACTCCAATACGAATCAACACTCAAGAATAGATTCAATGTTGGCTAATACTCATCAAGTGAAATATTTTTTGACGTAGACATAATATGAACTCTGTGGCGATTCTTACTCATCCAGTCGTGAGCGAGTTTCATAAGAACACCGCATCGATCTGCCTGTCCTATTGAGGTATAGGCCCGATTCTGTACAGCTATTAAAATTCCCCGTCTCCTTCTAGTTTAAGTCGATAAAAAGAGACAGCAGTAGTAATTGAGCTGTCAAACGTTAGTGACGAATGTAGTACAGACAAGGCACAACAAGGTAAGCACTGGCTTCTTAAGCAGTTGTAATAGGGGCGAGTTTGCTCCAAAAATGGATAGGCTAATGTGCTATCTGTACATAAACGTTTTGTTTAATTAACTAGGTATGCTAAGCTGAAGTGGCAATGGGCAGGGCGCAGAACTGACGGCCGATGGGGCAGCAAGGTTCTGGAGTTGAGGCCACGTACCGGAAAGCGCAGCGTGGGACGTCCACCCACAAGGTGGATCGACGACCTCATAAAGGTAGCGGGAAGGCGCTGGATGCAGGTTGCTGGATGTTTTGAGAAAAATATAGAAAAACGTTCTAGGTGTCTCCCCAAAAGGATACTTAATACCCAAAACCAAGGTGTTCGCGGAAGACCAGCTTCTTGACATACCTCTTTGCGAGCAAATGCTAATTACATGAAATAACC